ACCTGACTGGTGTGTGTTCAGATGTGTGTGTTCAGGTGTGTGTACCTGACTGGTGTGTGTTCAGGTGTGTGCTTGTGTGTGTGTACCTGACTGGTGTGTGTTTGTGTGTGTGTGTTGTGTGTTTAGGTGTGTGTGCAGGTGTGTGTACCTGACTGGTGTGTGTTCAGGTGTGTGAACCTGACTGGTGTGTGTTCAGATGTGTGTGTTCAGGTGTGTGAACCTGACTGGTGTGTGTTCAGGTGTGTGAACCTGACTGGTGTGTGTTCAGGTGTGTGTACCTGACTGGTGTGTGTACAGGTGTGTGTACCTGACTGGTGTCCACTGGTGTTGGCGTGAAGGCCGCCTGTGACAGTGTGACTGTGGGTCCCAGGAGGTCGCGTGTTCTCCCAAGATCATGTTTGTACTCCTGACTGTGCTCCACACGCAGCTTCTCTCGTGGTAAAACGGCCTCAAAACATGGAGCGTAGCCAGATGGAGGCAGGAACTTGAACTCTCCATGACGACCGCCCAACAGGTAGCGCACTCTGAGGAGGACGAGAGGTTTTCCCCAATCAGAGCAGGTTATAGTTTACAGGTGATATCACATCATCCATATACGATGATGATGATGACATTGAGCGGTTTTGATTGAGCAGTTCTGACTCAGCCGTTCATGTGAGTTATCTGTCAGACTGACCAATGGCAGACAGGGGGTGTCTCTGGAGACGATGAGACTCACTTGACTCCAGAGGAGAAGGACACGACGGGGAAGAAGAGTCCGTCTGAGTTGAAGTTCTCAAACATTCCCTGGACCGGCTGGCCGTTGATGCGGAAGGAGATGCTGGGAGCGCTGAGATCCAGACAGCAGCTGACCACATCCTCAGCCCGCAGCACGTGCTGATTGGGTGAGCTGACCGAACGCGCCACGCAACCTGCCAATCACAGCGCACATTACGTCACATGGCCTAAGGCTCTTTAAAACCGCTGACGACGTGCTGTTATATGAGTGATGTTTTCACTACCATCAGCAGATATCTCACATCAGAACACACACACACTCAGCTCTCTAAATGGGGACATTCTGTAGACTTTTGTTTTTATATACTGTAAATAAACCATAACCTTAACCATTCAACAGGCCTCGCAAGATGCAGATGAGTTTGTTTTTGATTTAGCTAAATTTAGCATTACATCAGTTGCTCACCAGTGGATCACAATAATCCATAATAATGCTTCCTCCAGTGAAAAAGTGCATCTGCTGTTGTCTCTCACATCAAAATCCAGCCTCATATGTGTTTAGAGCTGTTTAAACGCTGCTTGATCTGTGCAGATTTCTCTCCTGATTCACACCAGAACACTTTTTCACTGGAGGAAGCCTTATTATGGATTATTAATGATGGATTTGTTTCTCTTGTCTTCTCAAGACATTAATTGATGGACTGCAGTGGTACATTTCTACAAATATGATGAAGAAACAAACTAATCTTAGATGGCCTCAGAATGAGTGCATTTCCATTTTTGGGTGATCTATTGCTTTAAATAGTTCGCCCGCAAATGAGCACTGCATCACAGCGATTAATAACCTTCATTCATTCATTCATCATCATGATATAATAATAATCTCTGTTGTTACCTGCCCACAGGTGTAGTCCATCAAAGCCGTATGAGTAGAGGTCGTCCCCGACGCCGTTCCCGCCCCAGCCCTCTCCTCCGCCCGGATACGGCCCGTAGCCCTGTGTTGAGGCCCAGCCCACCCGCAGGTGAGTGGCTTCGGCCGTCACAAACGGCTCCACGTGGTCCACGATCAGCTCATAATACCACTTCCTGTACTGGGCGGAGCCTTCACTCACGCCCAGGAAGATGTTGGGCCTCATGCTGAACGAGCGACACAGAGAGATGCACTGAGAGAGTGTGAGGGGACAGGAAGTGATGACAGGAAGAGATGGCGATGCTGTCTTACCTGCTGACGTGATTGACGAGTCGCGTCTGCAGCAGCAGGTCTCTGCCAGGCAGCAGGTTATCACAGATCAGGTGCTGATTGGAGCGAACGGCCACACCGTGACACACACACAGAGAACACAGGACATCCAGCACCTGAACATCACAGACACACCGCCGTCAGTCCAGCAACGAGCCAATCATCAGCTTACTCAAACACATACATGATGACCCATAATACACACCTTCACATATACAAATATAAAAACCATCATCTGAAGCTTTTTTTTTTTTTTGCGTGAAACTTAATGAACGGCAGCTATGCTAATTATTTTCTATCTGCCTTTCTGTTCCTACCCCGGGATGCCCACCTCGAGGTAACTAGAGATTACAGCAGCTCCAGAAGCTGTCTGAAAGACTTCAGATGACCCCACACCTGTGAAGAGATGATGCTGACCCCTGCGAGGACCCCAGATGACGCCAACTTGAATCGACATGCACAGCTGCCAACATTTCTCTATATTGTAATCATTATGATCACACTTGTAAAAATCGCTTTAATGAGTTTCTCCCTGAAATTAATTCATGTTAGCTAACTGTATGATTCTATTACTTGGACACATTCACTTCTGCTTTGTAATGTAGACACATGCATTTTCTGTGAAGCTGCTTTGATGTGCATTGTGAAAAGCACTATACAAATAAATGTGAATTGAATTAAAAGTTCACATCCTTATCAACTGATTACATACACATTATACGAACAGCAGATGTCACTGATTTTCTCAATTAGAGCAGTATCACTCTAAAAAAAAAAGTTTAGGCCTAATATTTATTTATTTAAGATTTATCTATTTTAACTGCATATAACATTTCAATCCATTGCTGGATAACTAATTTTTAGCATAAATAATATAATTCATAACTTAATGTTATGAATATCTGTCAGTCATTCATAAATGAAATGAGTAAAAATTATACTTCTATAATAGTGGTCGTAATAAATAAAATATGTTTGAATGTTTATTATTGTTAACTAAAACTAAAACCATAAAAACGCTCATTATTTGAAAGAAAGCATAAAAAAATATTTTCATTTCAGCTAGTTGACAAAGCAACATTTCTCATTTTCATATAGTTTAAGTACTAAAATAACTAAAACTAAAATAAACAAATGTAACATTACAATTTAAAAACTATAGATATTTAAAAAAAATATATATATATTTATAAATATAAAAAATATGTGTGTGTATAATAAAAATTACAAAAACACAGTAAAATGAATAAAACTTAAAACAATCCAATTAAAAAAAATTTAATCAGATTCAAAATATTCAATAATACTAATAGCACTGGTTTGAAATAAACAGGATCATATACAGTATTTGTCATCTAATCTAATTATTAAACCTCAGATAGTCATATTTAAACCGTGCTCACTTTTTAACTGATTAAATTGAATTGATTCTGAGCTATTTGAATAAATGCGTAACAATAATCTGTGCTATGATTCATTTTTTGAGTATAACAATGACATATAATCAATAAAGATCTGAATTAAGGTGACGGTATTAAACATGATCAGATAAAAAACACAACCAACTGAGTAAACCATGAAAACTAGACATTGATAGATAAACCACACTGGAACTTCTGCACAGATCAAATGCAGTGAATCGCTAACGCACCACATGATCAAAAGAGAGAGTCTGGCTGATGATTATTCAGCTCACAGCATCACTAGTTTAGTCACCTTGTGGTTGCGTCCGTGTTTGTCCAGCAGTGAGATGATGGATTTGATGTGTCCCTCTTTAATGATGTTTAGAGCTTCCGGACTCTCCACCAGAACACAGTGCAGAACCTCCAGAATCCCTGCGGACACACACACACACACACATCATCACACCAGCACACCGTAACGATCCACTCGTCACAATAAATAACGCTACATACCAGATGACGCTTCCAGCCTCTCCAGACGACTGATTAGCCAATCCAGCGAGCCGGAAAACTGAGCACAATTCTTCCTGTTTCCTCTGATCAGAGCAGCTACAGACAGACAGACAGATGATCATGTGACGGGAATAATACGATTCATTAGGAATGAAGCTCTTCAAAGGTTCATGAGGAACAGATGAACTATTACTGAATCACAGCAGCGTGCAGTATACATATACAGTAGTGAGTGAAGTGTGTGAGTTAGTAGTGCACTTTGCTAAACACTGCTGTCAGCAGTGCACTAGTGAGTGATGGTGAACACAGTGCATCTCTCTCGTGCATCAGGACTCGTCCGAGACGCATCGGAGCTCCTGGAGACACAGTCAGCAGATTTCACCGGTTATTGATGTGTGCAGATGGAAAGTGCTGGAATATGGATCATACCCAGGAGTTCGTAGAGGGAGTTCAGGATGGACTTCCAGGATTCTCCAGCCTCTTTACCGGCCACGTCTGCAAAATGAGCCGCACTGCTGTACACATGCAGACGATCGATACACTCCAGCACCAGGTTGATCATTCCCTACACACACACACACACACACACACACATTAACTCATGCACGCAGCTGAAATATCAACATCGTCTCAGACGTTTCTTCTATAAACTCTCAGGAGAAATAAAAGCAGCTCACTATAAAAATGAATGTGGAGCAGCTCAGATTATCTGACGAGAAATGACGGCGTAAACTAGTACTAGTGCTATCTGATTCTTTGTAACCGGTAAAAATTATTTTTTCGAAGTTGTAAAAAAAGCAAAGATTATTGAAATATGGTTTAAAAGATAATACTACTTCAGTTTCTCTGTATCAAAATGTTGAGCTTACTGCAGTGTGTTACTTATTTGTAATTATTAGTGATATTTACTAGCAGTTTCTGAGTGAAAATCGTTTCATAGTTAATTCTACACCAGATTTTTGTTCAGTGTATTGTGAATCACATGGCTTGAGTTGTGCTTCTTCTATAGGACAGCTCTGATTCTAATGAAAAGGAATCCCACGCTGTGTCTGGTGTTTCTGTGATCCGTACCTCCTCCTGGAAGAGGTTCTGTCTGCTCTTGAGCGCTCGCAGGCGGTTCTGTTTGTCCTCGTGCTCCAGGTGTTCGTCAGGCGGCTGGAAGTATCCGATCAGATCCTCAAGACTCAGACTGACTGATTCGATGGGCAGATCGAGGGTGGATGTCTTTCCCTTCTTACTCAGAGTGTCTAGACCCCTGCACACAGGGAGGAGGGACAGGATCGTTAACAGATAAAACACTCTGTGCGTGAGTGAGTGTGTGTGTGTGTGTGTTTGAGTGTGCGTGTGTGAGTGTTTGTGTGTGAGTGAGTGTGTGTGTGCGTGCAAGTGTTTGAGTGTGCGTGAGTGTGTGTGTGTGAGTGAGTGTGTGTGTGTGTGCGTGCGTGCGTGTGTGCGTGTGAGTGTGTGCATGCGTGTGTGTGTGTGTGTGTGTTTGAGTGTGCGTGTGTGTGTGTTTGTGTGTGTGTGGGTGT